ATGGAGGAAGTGAAAAAAGGTGATGTAGATGGAGGGATATGAAAAATTAGGAATAGAATGTACCCCCGACTCAAATGACGAAAAAAAACTGATTCACGCATGAAACCTAAGACATGGTCATGGTCATATATACTCAAAGTGTGTGCTAAGACTAGTGAGTATAGGTGACATGTTAAGACTCGTGTCATGGTCATGTGGCTAGACTGTGTGACTAGACTCAATTAACACTACAAGAAAAAGACCGTTTTCCGACGGACGTTTTTCCTTGGAAACAACCTGTTTTCCGTCGGAAAGCGGGTTTCCGACGGTATTCCGTCGGTGTTGGTCCGTCGGAAAAGGCATCGTAGGAAAAATGACATTTTCCGTCGTAAATTCCGTCGAAAACACTTTTCCGACGGAATTTCCGACGGAATTTTCCATCAGAAGACAATTTTCGACACTGGGAAAATCCGTCGTAAATTTCCGATGGATTTTACATTCCGTCATAAATTTACGACGGGAATTCCGTCGGAAACAATTTCAACCGAAATAAAAAAAAACGCTGCACCACCATCGGCACGGCGTTTAACCACCTCCAACAGACCTATATCCCCACTAGTCCCCACCACCAAACCACCCCACCAACAGACCTATATCCCCACCAGTCCCCACCACCAAACCACCCCACCGCAACAAAAAAACAAACATAAAAAAAAATCCCTAAACAAAACCCAGATCTACCCACCACCACCTCCCTCCCTTCAGCACCAATTTAAACCCCACGTACCTAGATCTGCCGACCACGACACCGCAACCCAAAAAAAATCAAAAAAATCTAACCACACATCACCAACCCAACCCCCAAAATCGAAACTCCAACCACCACCACCACCACCATATATTTCAAAAAAAAAACCCCAAAACAAAATTAACAAAATAAAATCAAAATTAAGAAAAAAAAAGATAAATACCTTAATTTGACAAAAAATAACCTCGAAATTGGGTTTATAAGCCAAATTCGACCATGAAAACTCTAGATCTAAAGTTTTCATGGTCGAATTTGACCCAAAACCTTCGTTGTTGATGTCATTGTTGGTGCCGTTTTAGTTGATATCGATGTTGTTGGTGTTATTGCGGCGGAATGGTGGTAGTAAGGTGGGTGAAAGAGATGAGAGAAGATGAACGAAAATATTAATAAGGGGGACAGAAGGAGATCGAAAAGGAGACAGAAGGAGGTCGAAAGGGAAATAGAAGGAGAAAGAAAAAGAAGGAGAAGGGGGGCAGAAGGAGAAGGGGGGCGGTGGTAGAGGTGAAAGGAAAGAGGAGAAAGAAGAGAGAAGAGGAATGAGAAGGTGAAAGGAAAAAGCAGAGAGAAGAGGACCGAGAGAGTGAAAGAAGAGATAGAAGGAGAAGGGGGAAAGGGAGATTAGGGGCGGAAAAGTGAAGTGGGGGATTTAGGGTTTTTAGTTTTCAAGGAGGTTGTTTTTTTTTTTTTTAAATATGTTGCGACCGAAATTTCCGTTGGAAATTTCCGACGGATTTGTATTCCGTCGGAAAATGTAATTTCCGACCAAATATTCCGTCGGAAAGCCCATATATTCCTACGGATTTTTTTCCGACGGAATAAAAATCCGTCGGAATTTTTGAGTTTTCCGACGGAATTACATATCCGTCGGAACCAGTCCGTCGAAAATAGGCCTATTTCTAGTAGTGTAATGACTTAACAAAGTATTATTGACAGCGAAATTTAACCGAATTAATTAGAAAACTGGTTAATTAGACACTAGGTGATGACTCGATCTATAATCCGAATTGTCGTCAAAACGACAGGACTGGTGCCTCTCTTTATAGTGTAGCGCCAGACGACAGAGTTGTCTTTAAGCGCCACACTTCACAGAGTGGCGCCACAGTCCAGACTTTGGCGCCATTGCTAGAGCTTCAATCTGGAACTGTTTTCGGTGTTATTAATCAATTGGGGTATGCCTAAAGTCGTACTAGGTCAATTCTGATTAAAATATTAGACTTTATTAAATTAAATTAAATTAAATTAATTAATTAATTAGGCAAAGTTCTTTAAGTCATTAATTCATTAAATCTCAACACAAGTCAAACAAACGATTAAGAAAACATAGTATATGCACAACAAATAAAGCACAATTAGTCAAGTAGGCACAATATGATGCAATGACTTTGCAACCTAACCATGGCTCTAGTTCTTTAAAGTTCGGGATATGGTTTAGTCAATAGAGGGTCCATGGTTAATTGTCCGGATGCACACGCGGAAGCCTAACCGTGAAGGGTTGGCGCGAGTGAATGGGACACCGCGAGTTTTAAAAAAAACTCGCTTCCATGGTTTGGTGAATTCAACAATCTCGGATGTACCCTTTGTTGCTCAGAGTGTTCAATCAGGTAGATGGAGCATGAATTCCCAGAGGGTTATGTCCATATGTAGAACACATATTGGTTTCAGAAAAGTGAGAAAAACTCAATCAGGAAGTAGGATCAAGCAAACAATGCGAAAAACTAGTCGAAATTAGAACGCATATTTCTGGCTCGGTATTGGAAGAATTTGGCGCCAGCAAACAGAGATTGGCGCCAAGTTTTAGCTGTAGCACCTGGCGACAGAACTTTCGTCTAGCGCTACAGTTAAATGTCTGGCACTAATATTCTGTTCGTTGACGCTAATTCCTACATGCCTCAGCAGCTTTCTGTGCTCGATAAAATTTTCCAGTTTCGCGCGGTGTTATTTCGGTCCTAGTTGTGAAAGATATTTCTCAAATTTCCTACGTGTAAAAATACTATGTTTTAACTCATTACGGATGGTCTTTGCAATGATATATTTTTTATGCATATGACAATAATGTTAATCAAAATTACGCACATGAAATACTTAGAACTTTTCGAGTCTCATCCACTCATTCTAAATCATTGACGAAATAAATTTCAGGAATTAAAATAGAAATCGTCCCTAGTGGAGCGCCAAAAACTATATATGGAATATTTCAAGCGTTAATCCCTAGCTCGAACCCCAGTGTGATCATACACTAAAGTACGGTGGCGTACAAAGGGAAAGAAGATAGAGCAAAAGAGTCGCCAACAAGTTTTTTAAGGAACTTGTAAACCGTTCACGAGGTGAAGGTTACACCCCTTAACGATCCAAGAGATCGTCAACTCCATAAGGTCTTGAACCAAATAGGGTTCGGGGATGAAGGTACAAATCCAACCTAAAAGAGATTGAACCTGCCCTAATAATAGGCCTCTACTTTATTCTGATCGTATTCATGTGCGCTTTCTGACTAACATGCAAGCAATAGGATTAACCCTAAACCTGTTTATCTATGTTGGTTGAATATTAATGCACAAATAAAACTATTATTGGCGATCACTTGAATTATAATCATATTAACCCAAACAAGATTAATAATTATCTTATTAAGCGTGATTACAAATACAAATTCCCTTTAAACATGCATTAAAGGCGTGATCAAGCAATAACAATATATATCAAGCAACATTATAATAATCATCATAAATAATAATCAAAATTATAATTATAACAATTATATAAAAATAATCATAATTAAAATAATCATGTTAAAGCATAATAATAGCAAGATCCTAGGCATGATACTAACAAGATTAATAACAAACCCTAGCATGTCACTAAACAATAAAAATCAATTATTTAGCCCTAACATGATACTAACATGGTATTAGGAAAGAAAATAGAAAACATCGCAGAAATCGTAATTGTCATGTTTGATATTAAAAATTATAGTTATTACCCGAAACATGATCTAGGATGATTAAAACACCCTAACATGACGCTAGGAATCATAATAACAATCCAAGCATGATTTCTATATCATAATATCAATAAACCAATTAAAGCACTTACTTGGGTGCCTCGTACCTCTTTCTAATAACAAAATACACACGTTAATAATTTCAAAGAAAATAATAAACAACAATTAAATTAAATAATTGAAATAGAGATTTGGGACCAAACCCTCAGAAATTAAAACCTTTCACGTCTAGGGCGAAGACAAATTCGAATATGGCTAGGAGTATCTAAGTCTAATGACTGCAGAATTTTTATATTTGAGAGAAGGCTAGTTTAGAATAGAGAGAGAGAGAAATCAAGAAAATGTTGATAAGAGTTGGTGAGAATTGGTGAATCAAAACGGACTTTTTACGACGTTATTTATAGAGAAAATCAGCCAAAAAGATAAAACATCAAAAACAGAATTCTGACGCAAAAAAACAAGTTGGCGTCAAACGCTGACCTTAGCGCCAGATGCTAAGGCTAGCGTCAGGCGCCAAGCGTAGCGTTAGGCGCTACAGCTGGCGTTTGGCGCCGACTCAGAAATTCACGCGTTTTCTTAAAATCAGATAGAAATTGCCATACAGGAGGATAAAATCGTATTTTCCTCAAAAAACGTTCTTCGATTCTGATTAAAACTCTAAAAAGTCAACAAAAATAAATTTATCAATGCTAATTGAATTAGGAATGAAAAGAACCTTCTAGAAGAATCTAGAAGACTAAAACCATTCCTAATTGCATTAGGAATGATAAATCCATATTAGGCCCTCCTCTCGATCATTGGACCGCATATAAGGCTCAAACCGGGCCCAGTTTAGTATTTTGGTCATAACTTCCTTAATATTCATCGGAATTGGGCTTATAATATATCGTTGGAAAGCTCTTTTCAAGCCCTATCGAACTGAACTACTATTGGACCCATATCATGGACCAACCAAACTGGATTGGCTGTTTTCTCAAAATAGATTTTCAAAAATAGAGAGAAGAGAAAAGAATTCAAAATTTTCCGCAACACTAAACTTTCCACACTTTCACTTCATTCGATTATGATTCGACGTGAAAGGTACTCATCACTGGGTTTTGTTTTGGGGAGACACAAATGGGTGTCTACAGAAGACACAAATATTGCTATGAGAAGCAAGCAATGACCCCTTCAACAAAATGTGTAGGACATTCTCTTGCCGTACTAGCTCCATACTTCAAATACTCGTCAACATGATCAGCTGAAGTGTCGTATGCTAGCATCCGTATTGCTGCAGTGCATTTTTGTAGTGGAGAGGCACCAAGTCTTCCAGTTGCATCTGGCCTTTGTTTAAAGAAATCGTCGGCTTCGGTTAAGGTATCGACAATGCGAATAAAAACATGTTTTTGCATGAGAAATCTCCTTCGAAATTTTTTATCATCGTACAATGGCGTGTTACTAAAGTAATCTGATATTAAACGGTCGTCAGCTCCTTCACGATCTCTTGGAAGAAATGTTCTGGTTTTCTTTGAGTTGGATCCCTTAGTAACACGTTGTTTAGTGGCAGAGGGAGCAACAACTCTTATTGCATCCTCTACCACCTGCATGGTTTTGTTCTCTTCAATGAAATTTAATAACATCCAGTCATAGATTTCATCACTAGAATCAGAGGAGCCACAATCAAAGTTCATTTCTTAAAGCAAAAATTTTACGGATATTGAAATATTGTGTAGAATTTTGAATTGGATAACTAAAAAACTTAATACTATTTTAGTAAAACAAGGGATATTCATAAATCTTTTGATGGTGTTATGTATGTGACTTTATCCTGAAATTATACAATATATAAAATGAGTAATAGGATAAAGAAAATCAGAATGATAGGTTGATATTTTATGGAAATCCTTAAAAGATAAGGTAAGTGGATTGTAAGGATAACAATGTACTGTAGGATGTAAGAAAAGTAGTTTGTGTTGATAAAATTTTCAATAAATTTCTGAAGATTTGACTGAAATTTATCAATGCATGTCTGAAATTATCAGACATGTCAATGCTTGTCATGAGAACACAACAAAAAAAAAGTATGTCCTTTTTTGTTTACATGTTACAATACAAGACAATAATATATTGAAACTGGATAATAATCAACATTACAATAAAACATGACAATCAATAAAATTCCATGACAATATATTTAACTATAATAAAACATGACAATAATAAATAAAAAAGTGAGAATAATAAAGCATGACAATCATTAACAATACATGACAATACAATTAAACATGACAATAACAAAACATGACAATGAATAACTATTAATACTAATAGTATCGTCCCTTAAATTCATCCCTTAGCTTCTTGTACGTCTTTTTGTCTTCACTGTCGCGATTAGGGTTAGAGGCTAATATGCTGCAAATCCTTAACTTTGCCTCCTCTTCCTTCTGCCTTTTTCTTTCATCACTTCGCTCCCTAATTAGATCATGCATTCTTTCTCCTTGATCATACCTTTTGTCACTAATTTAATCTAGCGTATATGTCAAGGTTTCAAAGTCAATGGCCGAGGAGTCAGTTGGAGCAACTGTTTGCCCTTTCTTTTTCGCCTTATTATCTCCATCGGGTCGACTCTCTGAGGACTCACCCCCAACGTACTTTGGCTCCCCTCTTTTAGAACTTCCTTGACTACAAGTTGGTAGCACCATGGTTCCAGCACCCCACTTCTGCTTCTTTCTCATATGCTTCCAACAATGCATCAACATGAATCGTTGACCATGTAACTTTTCATAACTTTCATAAGCCGCACCCTCAACATCTTCCTCAGTCGTCCCACTGGGTTTGCCACGTTGGCATTCAGAGTAGCACATACCCATTTCCCAACAGTTCCATTGATTTTATCCCACCTTACTTACAAAGCTTTCATCGTCCTTTGTTTGATGTCGTCCTTGGGATTTTCTAAGCGTGTCTGCTCATACAACGCGGCAATGTTATTCCATAAATGGATTTTAGTTTGAGTTGTCCCATCACCAACATCTCCTACGACATTGATATAACCCGACACCAACGCTTCATCTTCTTTAATGGTCAAATTCTCCCTCTTTCGCGGCGCACACCTTGCTTGTGATGATGTTGTTGCCTTCTTCAATTGCCTTTTTTGTTGGTTCGCATTTGAACCAACATTAATTTGTTCCGAAAACAAATTAACAGTAAGATCCTCAATCTCTTCAAGATGTTGAGCTCCCCTAGATTCGGATGTTGGAGTAGCGTTGCTACTACCATCCCCGCCTAGAGAGCTTTCCATTTGTTGGCTAATGTGTTGGGACATTGGAAATACCAGATTTGAATTTTGTGGAAGGGAAGTTTGATTATTTTGGCTCGATTGAGTAGATAGATATTGTAAGTAAGACTGAACTTTGGGATTACTTAGAATACTCGGATCAATTTCAAACGGAATATTATGTAGACCATATTGCGAATTTGGGTTGGTACCATAATTTGGATTGTTGTTATCCATAATTACTCCTATTATTGTAAGAATGGAAAGAAATTAAAATTTACTAATACAAAGGTAATGTTTAAATTTTGAATGGATAAAAATTAAAACTTAGTAATACAAAGGGAGATGAGGAAAATATGTAGGAGTGGCTTAAATTATGACAAAATTATACTCTATATATACACAAAAATATTTGACAAAGGTTGGTAATTTAAAAAAAATAAATAAATAAAAGTAGCCGTTAATTTATATCCGTTACAAAATTGTAACGTTGCAAATGCTTGAACAAAAATGCATGAACAATTGAACACATTCAGCAAAAAAAGGTGCATTTCCAAGTGTCAAATAGTTATAGGTGCATATTTATGTGTTTTAAAAAAAAATCCTTATCTCTTTCACGTGTCACCCACCCCACCATTCCACCCAAAATTTGGCTCTTGAGCCAATGCATGTTCATCCTCAATTTATAGAGGATCCACCAACATCCTCTACCATTGAGGATCCTCTTAAAAGTATCTACAACAATCCTTATCCTCTAACTTCACAAAAAATGTAAAAAGGATGAGGATCATATACCCCATTGTGGGTGCTCTTAGAGGGATTTTTTTATCAAATTTAATTCCTATTTTTCTCTTTCTCCCATTTTATTCATCCCTAATTTTTTTTATTCAAATGAAAGAAACTCTCTCAATTTCTCTTCTTATACTTCTATACTTTCCCCCATTTCCTTTCATCTAAACACACTCTTATTGTTTTACATAGATGTTTGGCTTAACAAATTACAAGAGAAGGCAAAATCATATGATAATAAGGATAGTACTTCTGATCAAGACGATGAAAACATTGAACTTGATTATTGATGGGGTATAAGAATATAGTATATTAGTCGATGAATAATAAAAGTTTTTGTTAGGTTGATTTGGTATTTGCGTTTTTTAATTGTAACTTACCATTCAACGAAAATAAAAGTAGGAAAAAAAAAGCCGAGTAATTTTTTTTCTTGTTCTAAAATGGGTCACTATTTATTTTAAAAAAATAATTGTTGGTTTGTATTTCCTCCGTTTTTTAATGCTTGCAACACACCCTTTTTTACGGTTTTTAACAAAAGTCAGTCTCATGTGATTTAAAACAATTTAAATGGAGGAGTGAGATAATTAAGAGTATAATTTAGTTGACCATGAGATTATAATAAGGATAATAGTACAACTTTTGACATAAAATACTTTCCAATTATAGTGTGTTGCAACTATTATGACTAGGTGTGTACAAAAAAAAAGGACCTAAAACCGGACCTGAACCGGAACAAGTTTGATCCAGACCGGTTTATTCTGGTTTGTTGCCAGTCCGAGAAAACGGTCCATTCTGGCCCCGGTCCAATCCGATTAAGGTCCGGTCCAGGTCTTGTCCTACAATAATGAAGAAAAGGAGAAAGGAAGAAACCCATAGCCAATCGACCTGCAACGAGTGCCATACTTGTCCTACAACCCAATAGCCAAACGAGAAAGGAAGAAATTCTGCTTCTTCTTAGCTTGTGTTCAAGCACTTGTTCAGTTCTTCTTTTCCTTCTTCTTCTACTCAATCTCATTCAAATTGAAAATTAAAAAGAAAAAAAAAAGAAAAAAAAATACAAAATGGCAGACATGTTTAATGAGGAATTTTACAATTTGGAGCAAATCTTAATGGAAAAGGAGCATGTGTTCTTTCAGTTAGAAAATGAAGAACAATATAGTCCACCAAACAAGAGACACAAACCACATTTAAAGCTCCACCAAAAAGGGCAATAGTTGACACTATGTTAGCAATGTAACAAAATGGGAAGCTACCAAGGGGGCTCAAATTATCACTTTCCAGAGAGTATGATGTTCACAAGAGTACAATAACAAAACTTTTGGATGATGTATGGAAGCAAAGACAAAATTGGGGGGGGGGGGTTGTTGATGTCAGTTCAAAGGCAATTGGCAAAACCGGGCCAAAACCAAAAGAGTACTCTGAAGAATGGTTGCAGTCTGTTTTGGGTAAAATTACCCAAGCCACGTGGCCCTATCAGAGGGCGACACAAGTCAAACTATGAAAGGTCCAAATGGATCAATCACATCATGACATGTGTCACTCCATACAATTGGGAAGAAAGGCTGCCTTCATGGTCCAAATCCTAAAAAAAGCCGTAATGCGGCGCAAGCCATCAGTCCTAGGTTTCCTGTATTCTAGGTAGGGGCACAATTCTCGAGGACCCTATAAACAGGGAGATTTTTTCCTTTTCCGGGGCACGTTCATTTATTACAACAACCCTACATTTTCTCTCATCATAGAAAACACACATGATCTCGGAATCCGAGAAGATCTCACTTTACCTTTTCCAAACCTTTTCATCTTTTACGACCAATACTAACTTGATCGTCGGAGGCGGAGCTCCTACCAACCGGAGTCTCCGTGTTTTGCAGGTACAGATCGCGCAGGATCAGTCCTGGTGATGTAACTCTTGGGGCCGTTTGTGGGGGAGAGTGCCATTAAAATAGTTTAAGATTTTGTATCGCCACCTGAACCTAACCGGCCTACGGTTAACGGGGAGGTCCATACGGACAATGATACAGATAACGACTATAAAGTCAAAACTTATATGGCCCCTGACGGTTCACTCATCTCAAAGTGCATCTGTCGCAGAGATAAGCTTGAATAGGGTAACTATGATACCGGTCTCAGTAAATCTACTAGAGCACCGCCTGGGGAAACCTAAACGGCAAGGGGCCAGGCCCACTCATTCGAGACAAACTTATGAAATTCATGACAAGTTTCAAGGATGAAATCAAGGACCCGATCAACAAAAGGATGACTGGCTCTAGCAAGGGTAAGTCAGCCAAGAATACTCCTTAAGCTGAGAGAAGAAAGCCAGTTAGAGATAAGAAACTCACTCCATATCCAAAGGAGAAGGCGACCACCCCTGCCATTGACTGTTCTAAGGTCCTTCTGCCTTAGGCGGGCAAAAAGAAGGATATCGGGACAGTTTAGACGGATGGCAGCAAGAAACATTCTCCAATAGTTGCTGTCTGAGTCAGCCTCTACATCGAGCTTCCCAGACAGCTTCAAAAACACAACATCAAGGAATTCTCAATCCTTGCATGGGAGCTATACAGGCGACAAGTCCGTCCACACACACCCTCAAATGATCGGGTCTACCCCATATGTTCCTAAGATGCCATA